TTTTTAGCTGTCTACTGCTAAGCTGAAACTTGTAAAAATCATAACTTCCTCATACGAAGTCAGATTTTGGCGTTCTTTTTAACAAACTTCTCGGTTTAACGAATACTACGACTTTCATTTAGATCACTAAGGCTAAAAAGTACTTTATCAAAAACTCACTTTTTGCGTCATTCGGCACCGTGCCGGTTTTATCGCGGATCTTCGATTGGTCATAACTTCTTCGTTATAACTCGGATTTCGATGAGGTTTTCGCCTATATGTTTCTAACGAGATTATCTACAACTTTCAAAAATAAAAATTTTACTTATTTTAAATTTTATATTTTCGCTAAATTTCACTATTTAGCTTTTAATTGGAATCTCATAAGACTTCCAATAATTTATGAGTGATTCTAAACATAGTTTTACCTTATTTCTAGTAAAAACTATCTGTTAGAACTCAATACTCAATATCACATAATATTTCATAATATTATTTATATAAAACACGATCTCAAAACGTGTATGTTACATGTGCGCATGCCATAAAATCATATTCTTTGACATGTTTGGTTTGGGAATTGTATATGTTTTGGGAATGTGATTTTGGAGCATTCTTACTTGTCCATTACGTGTAGGATGAGAATTGAGAGTGTTCGTTACAAAGGAGTGATTCCTTAGACAACAAAGTATGGAAGGGAGAAATTCCCTTGAGTTTAACGGAAGAGATATCGTAGACTCATAAGCTAAAAGCTTGGGGATAAAATTCACAATTTCATTCCATGAGGATTATGTTGATGGTCACATGACTCTCTAAAGTATATCTAAATGAGTGAATCCTTATATATGACCTTGTAGTCATAAATTGATTTATTTGTTGAGTCAATAGACATCGACTAGATTAGCTTGCAACGTCAATTTAGGTAGAGATGTACACCATTATCCCTTAGAATGCAAGTGGCTTATATGAGAGTAGTGGATCAGGTTGTGTTAGTTACATATGCATTTGCATGATTTTATTGATGCGCCTATCCTAAACTCTTAACTATATCACTTATATCATGAAATGATTTGAGATACAATCAAAATGGTTTTGGAAAGATTTGTTATTTTGAAGAAAAAGTTTTTAAATATTTTTGGTAATCTAGCCTTAGGAATTAGGTATCTTTATCTCCAATTCCATTCTATAATTTGATTTTTGCATTACTCACTGGGCTCCCCAAGCCTAACCTATTATTTTGACATGTACTCACACATTATGAATTGAAGAATAGTAGCATGCGATTGGAAAGTTTGAAATTCTTGCATGTATGGTTTATTTAAATAATTGTTATGATATTTAAAAAAAAATCACATACACTAAACTCTGATAACTAAAAATATGCTTTGTAATTTGGGACTGTTTAATTTCGCATTTGATATTTTAAAAGACTTTAAAGAAATTTCATGAAACTTCTTATTTTATAGCCGGTGTGAACGGGTGTTTCAGAAACCCCATCCAACATCGAAACCACAACCAATGTAATAAAAAACTAGAAATTAAGATTTGATTAAAATGCAAGAATTGATTAAGATGTATGAATCCAATTCCTATTCAATTGAAATTTCTAAGCACGCATCTTCCGGATAGAGCACTCTTACCACAATAATGAGATGTAGATGTACTCTTCCAGAAGAATGAATGAGAGTTATCCATGCGAGTTATCTGGTGGAGATTGTGGGTTTCATAAGGGGTTATTTTTTGACAATGAGGGACCATTAGGGATGGTGACGATGATGGTGTCGTTGTGGTGCTTACCTAATATGTATATTTATGGTGGTGGACCGATGTCCGTCGGAGGGGAAGGTGGGAAAGTAGTGTCAAAGGGGTAAGTTGGGTTGCATATAATTAAATGTGTGTATTAGAGGGGAAGGTGTCAGAGTGGTGTAGACAAACGGGATTGCGTGTAATTAAATGTATGGATTAGAGGGGAGGGTGTCATGTAGGTATTGGTTACAATCTTAGAAGTTCCATCTTATTTAATAATATTAATTAATCAAATTAAATTGTTAAGTCACCATAATAAAAGATAAATATCTTTTATTATAGTCACTTAATAATTTGATAGTATAATTGTGTAAGAAAATCGAACATTAATTCGAATTTTCATACCCATTCTTATTCTACTTTACCACCAATAAGATTTTCACAAAAGTTGAAAACAAATAAGAAAACTAAATTTTAAATCCTATCTAACTAGAAAAGGTTGGATGTCGGCCTTCATCGTTCGTGACGTTGTCACACATACTAAAAGACTTGCGGTTGCCACCGTCGAACATATTTGCACGTTTTCTTTAAGTCGTTTTCACTTTCCCCCCTTTCCCTTACTCAGTCGCCACCCACACCCATCCTTTAAAGCCACCACTTTCACCTCCTCCTCCATCTCAAACTTCTCTCATCAACCATGGTTTGTCCCCGCGATTGGCCTGAACCGGTAGTTAGAGTGCAATCGTTATCTGAAAGCGGGAAACCAGTAATTCCCGACAGATACATCAAGCCACCACCGGATCGGCCCGTTTTTAACTCATCTTCGCCCGACGACATAAACATACCTGTTATCGACCTCGCCGGACTGAACAGCGATGATCTCACCCTCCGGGAATCTACTTTTAAGGAAATATTGGCAGCGTGCCGTGAGTGGGGGTTCTTCCAGGTGATCAATCATGGCTTGAACGCAGAACTCGTCGACGGAGTTCGGGATATTTGGCGGGAGTTCTTTCATGAACCGATGGAGGTGAAGCAACAATATGCTAATTCACCCAAAACATATGAAGGTTATGGAAGCAGATTAGGACTTGAAAAAGGGGCAATACTTGATTGGAGCGATTATTATTTCCTTCACTATCTTCCTCCTCCTCTAAAGGATCACAACAGATGGCCTGCACAACCATCTTCTTTGAGGTCAGATATCATCATCATATATATAATAATAAAATTGATCTTTAATCATATCATCATAATAATAAAACTTCAATCACTTAATAATGCAGGGAAATTGTCGAAGAATACTCGAAGGAAATAGTGCGGTTGGGAAAAGTTTTGCTCGAGGTATTTTCCATAAACCTTGGGTTAAAACACGATTACCTTCAAAAAGCTTTTGGTGGAGATGATATCGGGGCTTGTCTGAGAGTAAACTTCTACCCAAAATGCCCACAACCGGACTTGACTCTGGGTCTATCGCCTCACTCCGATCCTGGTGGCATCACCTTTCTCCTTCCAGACGAGAATGTTAGCGGCCTTCAAGTCCGGCGGGGTGACCAATGGGTCACCGTTAAACCTGCCCCACATGCAATAATCGCCAATATTGGAGATCAAATTCAGGTAAGAAATTTAATGATTGAATCTATTAAAGGCTATACGGATCTATGTCAAATTTGTCTTGCACAAATAGGAGCCAACCATTTGATGGTTGCTTTTGTTTCCATTCCTAAACATTTAACAAATTGAAATATTCCCATGTGAAAGACAAATATATTAAATACGCATCACATGTACTCAGTTTGGGTTTTCCGCAATGAATCCAAATCGGTCATATTAAAATGATCAGCAACTATCAGCATTAATAACGTAATTATAGACGACTGAATTAATTGTGATGTTGATAATGGTATTTTGATATTTAAAACAAATTATAACGTAATCTGATATTCTTTTGTTTTTATGTTTTTTCTTTCATCATCGTGCAGGTTTTAAGCAATGCCATATACAAAAGTGTAGAACATAGGGTGATAGTGAATCCGGACAAAGAGAGAGTGTCATTGGCATATTTCTATAACCCAAAGAGTGATTTGCTTATTCATCCAGCATCAGAGCTCGTAACCCAAGAAACACCGGCTCTCTATCCCTCAATGACTTTTGATGAGTACAGACTTTTCATTAGGACAAGAGGTCCGCAAGGGAAATCCCAGGTGGAATCTTTAAAATCCCCGAGATGAATTTTTCACATCTATGACCATATATTTATGTATGTATGTTAGTGTATATGGGAAATCCCTAATGGAATCCTTAAAACCTCCGGGATGACTTTTTACACCATCCGTATTTGTATTTATGTACTTTTTTGTATATGAAAATATTTAATGTCTTGTGATCCTTATAACTATCGTACCTGTGTAATATTTTTACATGATCGATGGTCTAAAGAATATAT